ATTACTTACACACGAACAATAAAACAATGAAGACAATTTGAAATGATAGGCAAAAATGATAAAAACAAATGATGAAAGACCATCTGGGCTATTCAACAGTGTGTACTGTTCCCTGTACTAAAATGCGATACAGTACGTTAGCACCGCCACACGGCAGTACTTACTCACACTCCTGACACATTTTTGAGCAGTGTCGGGTGCACACGTAGCGCTTGCAAGTGTCGCAGGGCGTGCTGTTCCTCGTCAGCTTACCCTTTTTCACTTTGTACCCCTCTCCTTTGATTTCAGCCAGGCATAGATGGCATCTCCCATGACTTTCAACAGCCTGCGCATGGGACACACCAGGAGGCGCACTGGGCTCGTCACTGGCTCCTGCCTGCTCTTCAGTGGCTCTCTGGGACTGACCACCGCGACTGGCGCCGCCTTCCACAGGACGTCGGCTCGAGCGCTGGGGGTCGCCGACGCCTGCGTCGCCACCCTCTTCACCGCTGGCGGTGTTTTCCACCGCACACTGGATGGCTGCGAGGCTGATGCGGTTCAGCCCGCGAGGTGCCAGAGATCGCTCCTGCACCCTCTGCCTTGCCAAGGTCTCACCGATGGAGTAGAGGATCTCCCTTCGCACGTTCTTTTTCACTTGACCAGCCGTCATGCCCCTGTTCATCATGAGCACTGTTGATGCGTTGATCTGTGCGATGCCCAGGAGGTACAAGAAGACGGTGGTTGGCCAGCGGCGAAGCGGCGGCTTGTGGAGGTACTTTTCCACCATCGCGTCAAGGACATCTACTCCACTCTTTGTCGCATTATAGAACAAGATGATCTCGGGCTTGTTGGTCTTTGTATCCACCAGGGGCTCGTGGTGCTGCGTGGATAGCGCCGTTACGAGCTTTCCTTTCTTCGGGCAGGACACAGCCGTCTTTTCGCCGTGGAAGGCGAAGAGGCTTGTGTCCTCCTCTCGTCCTCGAGGATCCTTCAGCTCTTCAGGCATCCGTCGGCGCCGGTCCATCGTTCCCACGATGGTCAGCCTGCTGTTCAGGAGGTTCTCAGCCACGTCAGTCGAAGTAAAGAACCGATCCATGGTTACATTTCGGCCCGAGCCCATCAGTTCCTCCACCATGTAGTTCACCATGTCCGGGACTGAGCCGAAGTGCACGTGTGCTGGGCCTCGCTCAGGCTCCTGAGGATAGCCTCCGCTATATGGCCAAACCTTCAGCATGTATCGATGGTTTGCGTCCGCCAGAGTACGGAGGAGTATTCCATACCTGCCTGGTTTGCTTTTCATGAATACGCGGAACGCGCAGCGGCCGCGAAACCGCACGAGGCTCTCGTCCAGCGTCACCGACTCAGATGGACGGAACTGGCGGCGCAGGGCGGCGTTGAAGGCGTCAACGAACCAGCGAAGATGGCAGAATGCGTCGCCGGTACGCCGCGCAGCACGTGTCTGGCGATCATCAAAGGACAGGTGCCTGAGGATGGCCTCAAAGCGCAAGCGTCCCATAGTGGCGGCGAACATGGCCGGCCCCCTGGCTGGGTTGAAGAGGTCCGAGACCGGGACTGTGTAGAATCCACGGAGAAGGCAGAGGCCTATGAAGCCCCATAGCTCCGACTCTGTGAGATCCGCCACTCGGTGTTCCATGACCTTGGCCATTGCCTCAGGAGAGTACAGCGTGGCTTGGAGTTCCCGCTCCTGTCGCAGCTTCTGGTTCGTGCGCCGCAGTATTTCGGCCACCATCTCGTCTGTCATAAACAGACGGAAAGCCGTCACACCATCTTCGGCAGCTTTGGCCTCTCGTCCATGGACTCCAGCTGTCTCGCGGAGGATGTTAGCATGGGAGCGGCGCCGGGTCGGAGGTGGGGGACTTGTCTCCCAGAGGGTAGCCTCAGCTCCCCTCGCACCACGGACACGGTAAGGGCCGGCATCTCGCGGTGATACCAGGCGGAGATCTGCCTGGTTCAGAATGTCCTGAGATCTTGTAAATTCAGCTGGGTTGATGTGGGATGTCAGACTGGCATCATTGTCTCCACCAGCGTTGCCTTCGTCGGAGTCCCCTTCATCTTCCTCAAAAACGTGCACCTGATCCTCTTCGTCCTCAGGATTGTCAACGGCATCTTCATCACTGCTGTCAGGCTCCGCCAGCTGTGCCGCTATCTCGGCGCGTGTCAGGATACGGACGCGACGAGACATCGCTGCATCTGGCGGGTGGAACGGGAGGTGTCAGACATTTGTCCGATTGGCAGCATGACAGTAAAGTATGGCGATTTTTTTTTTAGGCATTTCCCGTTCTTAGATATCAATGCCCGCTGTCAGCAGGCTCCATTTGCATGCAAATCGGACACGATTCCTTACTCCCAACTTGCTTTCTCCCTAGCATTGGAGTAGACCAATGCAAAATACATTGAAGCGTTGTCATTACAAGAGAGGATGCGACATGAAAAGCGTCGGTGGCAAGCTTCGGACCCGGCCCCCTCCGGTCACTCATGTTCCCAATGCAGGGGTGCTATTCCCTCGGCCATCGTGCCACTAACCGACGTCTCTCGCAAACTCCACCCAATCTCCGTTCCCCCGGCCAGCAGAAAAACATCCGGCCGGGTATCTCGGTGGCGTAATACCTCTCTCACCCATGGAAGACGTGGAAACAAAGTACAAAAAGTATTTCCAAACATAGGCTAGACAAATGCAGGTCATACTAAACATAAAAAGATGGTCATACAGCACAACTCACCGGTAAAACCAGGTATTGGCCGCAGAGATCCAACAGGCTTCCGCGCGACGACAGCGACACAAAACAAAGAGGGCAGCGGTGTCGAATTTATCACATGGTTGTGGGCCGAAACGGACCTGGAAGCAATGCCTCGGTACTGTAAGCAAGACATGGACCTCAGTCAAACCGATAACGTCACAGGTCAGGTCAAATGTCGAATTTTCACCGTTTACAGGCATTTCAGGAAATGTGTCGTGAAATCTAGTAAAATGCATGTCATTGAAAATATTCGATGGGGACTAGTTCGTCAAACACATATTTTGCCAGTTGATGTCACTAATACCGGGTTAGGTCCCATGGATCAGGTCACTGAAGGTCACAATATGAAAAATGTAATGTGCTGCATGCTTTATGGTCCATTTTACATGACAAATGCAATTAAGTGTGTCAGGCAGCCTTTGGGGCCAGTTTAGGTTATGTTCTGGTGAAGGTCAGGTCAAGGTCAGGTCAAATTAGGTCAAATTTCAAAGTTGACACTTTTGCATAAAATGGGTATCGATTTGATGCAGCTCGTCACGGGGAGTCCAATGGTGGTCTTTGTTTTACCCTACGTGGTCTAAAATCGCTAAAAATTGAGTTAAAAAATTTGACGTCATCATTTTTGAACAGTGTTTTCGCTATAACTTGGCCAAAAAACGAGATATCGATCTGAAATTTGGTATGTATATAGAAGAGCCCAGGGACTATCATATATATTCCGGTTTTTTCGAAAATCAGATTTTTTTGTTTTTTTAGTTTTTCTAAAAAAAACAATTGTTTGAATTTTTGGGGGTCAAAAACCAAAAATTTGGAAAATCCGAGATAGCAGTTTTGTAGCGCCGCTTTTTGTCTACTAGATCATATAAAGAACTTTGAAATTGCTTGGTAACTGTAAATTTGGTGAGCGTTTCAAGATTGCATGTTTTTTGCTCATTTTCGCTCGAACATGACCTCAGTTTGACCTCAATAACTCCTGACCTAAGGTGACCTAAGACTTGAAATTCGGTGTGAAGGTGTCAAATTGATGCCCGGGAAGGTACTGAAAATTTGGCGGCGCTGCGCGCCGCCGTTTTCTTGCTATTCAGGAAAAACCACAGGGGGGGGGGGGGCAAATTGGCCCCCCCAACGGGGCGAGGGTTAAGTCAACAGTTATTGCCGAAAAACACTTTTAGTAAAAAAACTGCTATTTTTAGTATTTGCCTTCTGGAGGCTAAACCGTTGACCTGAGGTCAAACCTGAGAACACTACGCAAATGCCTGTAAAAGAGCTATCGATTGCACTTTTCTGCGGCGCTGTAGCTCTATCGGTTCCAGAGTTAGCCGTTGGCAGTTTCCAAAATGTTGAAATAGCCAACATTTTACCTTTGGTGGCCTCTGGTGACCTGACCTTTTACCTGACCTAAACAATGACTGAAGTGTTTTCGTCCTGATTTTGGCCGTTATTTCGAATGCCGCTTACTGCATGCCACTACGTGGCCCAGGAGCTGAGTTAGAAGGAGGGGGGGGGGGGGGTTCAGACACCCCTCCCCCGGCCCGGCGCGGAAGTCGCGGAGCACCGGCCCGGCGCGGGTTATTTTTGGCCCCCTCGTATCTCCGAAACTACTGGAAGGATCCGCAAAACTTAAGCCTTGTAAAATCTGTCGAGGGAAATCAAATTTTATTGACCTAAGGGTTACCGATGACGTCACAGATGCGGTAAGATAAAATGTTTTGCCGGTCACTGGTCTTCTACGAAATGCGCCATAACATCGAGTAAAACGCACGGCATTTTAATCGAAAATCAGCGACAGGGTGTCAGTTGCCTAGAGGTTGAGTTGCTATTAGAGGTCATTGATATTACCAGGGCTGTGTGGTACATGTTTTATGGCCAAATTTTCATTTCCAACTCAGTGGTGTTTGTTATAAGACCATCAGGACCATCAGGAATTCGTAGAAGACCAGTGTGACCGAAAAAAAAAACATTTTATCTTTGACCTGATCTGTGACGTCATCGGTAACCCTGAGGTCAATGAAATTTGATTTCCCTCGACAGATTTGACAGGGCTTGAATTTTGCGGATAGTAGTTTCGGAGATACGAGGGGGCAAAAAATAGCCCCCTCCCCTCACCCCCACCCCCGTCGCGTTATAAACAGACCCCACCAGGGCGCGGGTTAATTCATCTGAAGTTGAAACAGAACAAGATAACTATTTTCGAAAAACATAACCGGCTCAGGTATCTAGGAACAAGGAAAGCCTTACATGCATATCTGGCTTTGTTTTCAGGCCATTAGTGACCTCATCACGGCAAAAGACGAAAAGCTGAAAGCCGCTGTCAATGTGGATCCCACTCGGGTGCTCGGAGAGGAGCAAGGCAAGCCCAAGGACTGGAGGAAAATAATCAACCTCTCCTCACTGGAAAAAGATCCTAAAAGGCAACGGAGCTACAAGGAGACCACATCTGAGCTGCTGCGGTTGGTTCGAAATAAGGTGAGTGTCGGAGACACGCAAGTCCCCTGACTTTTTTATTGTAGTTATATCAAGCTAATCAGTACCACGATTCACAACATGCTACAATGTACTGTCTAACATTTCCTGCCAGTTAACCCGCGCCGGGCCGGGGGGGGGGGCGGTGTTTGAACACCCCCCTGCAGTTTTTCGCAGATATATCAAAAACGGCGGCGCGGAAAGCCGCCGTTTTTGGCACACCTGTTGGTGCATCTTTTCCGCACATGTTGTAAAAATTTCAGAACCAGGTCGCTCAAGGTCAGGTCAACAGGTCACGTCAAGTGACCTCTCCTCAGAAAAAAATTAGAATGTTCGTCATAGCTACACCGACTGCACGATTACCTTGAAACTTTCAGCGATTGCTAAGAGCAATAGCATGTACAAAATGTATATCTCAGAATTTTGATATCGGTGACCTAAGGTCAGGTCAATTTTGCGACCTCCCCATTATAACCCTCGCCCCTATTTGCCTTTTTAAAGCTCTAACGTATAGGGGGGTCCGTTTGACCCCCCCCCCCCCCAGCCGTTTCGCTCCTGATTGAGCTAGAGCTTCGCGGAAAAAAACGAGCGTGTTGCCCGTGACGAGAGGAAGCCGATGGTACCAAATTTTAAGGTCCTAGGTCATTGGTTGACCTTCCAGGTCAGGTCAATGACCGGAACCTCAAGAAGAAATGGATGTCAGCGTTCATATTGACAGGTTCACGGGACAAAACAGATAAAGTGGATTAAGATTACGACTTTTATGAGCTTGCGTGACTTGCAACAGTGACATGCAAGCATTCTGAAGACCTTTGACTGGTTTAGAGGTCATATCGGGTCAAACTTGCTTTCACTATGAACCATCTAAATGCGAACGTATAAACCAAATGATTTGGGATGATATGCTTTCAACTATTGTGGTTATTTGTGTTCAGTATTCAGTATTTAGTATTCAGTAAGCATTCTAACGTTATTATAAGTGACCTGGAAGGTCAAGGTCATTGACCTATTTTGACCTTTTACAAATTATTTTATTTAAACCCTGTTTTCGGACAATGCAGGCATTGTGTTTGTTGTTGATCGATTTTGAACCATAGCAGTGCATTTGTGCATGTCTGGTAGGACAGGTCAAGTCAGGTCAGCAATTCAGGCTCCGAGCTGCAAAGAAAGGACGCTTACATGTCAACGTAATTCTGTATTGCACAATACAACATATCACGATACAAATCCACAAATGGCCAATGAACATGTGCATTGATAATGCTGATGTGACATGACACGTGACATGACACATGACATCGTGGTCTATTCAGTGCTTCTTCTCGCATGTTCACTAGTTCAGTGATCAGTGATCACATCTACTCAGCACATCGTTCACACACGACCAGGTGGCTAACTCTATGAGTGCCGCACATCGACCTGCGGCACCTTGCGCACATCTTTTTCGTCTTGTTCACACTGTTGCTTCGAGCTTTCTTGTACCCGTTGCCGTGCTGGTTGACAGTGCAGAGGTGACAGCGGGCGCGCTGTGCCACCGTCCGCTGGGGTGCTGCAGGCGGTGCCGTCTTCTCCTTCAGAATGACCTCAACGGCCAGCCTGGTCTTCATCACCATGTTGTCTGTCGGCCGGCTGCAGACAAGCGGCCGGATGAGCGACAGGCCGAGCTCTTGTAGGAAGGCCTTCCTTCCACCATGTCGGGCGTCCGCGAACTGGCCTGTGGCCTCGGAGAGGACCACCCAGCTGTTGAGTGCCGCCACGTCAAGTATGAAGAAGAAGATAGCCATCGGCCACCTCCTTGTCGAGACTCTGCAAGTGTATGTGTCCAGCATCTGGTCGATGGTGTCGATGCCGCCCTTGGTGGAGTTGTAGTACAGCATCATCTCGGGTTTCTTCTTTCCAGCCGCTCCTGCGTCCACCAGTGGCTGACCGTGCTGGGTGGATAGCATCAGGACGTTCTTGCCTCTTTTCTTGTTGTAGGAGGCCATCATGATGCCGTCCGACCAGTAGAACTGCGTGCTGTACTGCTCGCGGCCGGTCGTTGTTTTCGCTTCCTCTGGCAGGTCCCGACGGTTCGCCTGAACCGTGCAGACGTAGGTGAGGTTTTGCTCCAGAAGCTCTTCACAGAGAGCGATGGTTGTGTAGAATCGGTCGGCAGTCACATTCCGGCCGCTGTTCTTGAACGGCGCCACCAGATGTTTCACGATGTTCGCTGCGCCAGTCACATGCAGGTCGGGGTCTGGATCTTGGGCGACACCGGCGTACGGCAGCATGCGAAGCATGTAGCGGCTTCGAGCATCGGCGAGCATCACGTATCAGCAGACCGTATTTCGATGGCTTGTTCGGCATGTAGGTTACAAAGCCGCAGCGCCCTCTGAAGCTACGGAGGGTCTCATCGACCGTAATGCAGTCGGATGGGTTGTAGTGGCGCGTCAGCGTCTCGTTGAACTCGCTCATCACCTCTCGGATGGCCGAAAACTTGTCTTTCCGCTGTCTTTCTTCCCTCGTCGTTTTGTCGTCGAAGCGGAGAGTGCTCAGGAGGTGTCGGCACCGCCCGTAGGGCATGGTCGCTCTGTAGAACGGACGGGCAAACGGCCCGTAAAACAGGTCCTGCAGGTCTGACGTCTGGTCTACTTCACAGCCCCGTAGAAGAAGCAGGCCAATAAAGGCCTTCAGCTCCTGGATGGTGATAGGCGCGTTGGTTTGTTCTTTCAAAGCTGACACTCTCTCGCTCTCTTCGTTGCTGTGGCGTACCACCTTCTCCAGGAGAGAGTCGGGCAGGAAGAGGGCAAGAGCCTCTACTGGATTGGTTACGTGCCTGGCGGCGCCCTTCGAGCCAGGCGTGCCGCGCATAATGTTAGCGCTGGCAGCACGTACTCGATGGTTTGGAGGCTCCGTAGCCCAAAGTCGACCTGACCTGGCCTTAGCAGACGCAGTTGGCTCTCGGCGTACTCTGACAAAGTCAGACGGCTGTCTTTCATCTCTATCACTGTCAGAGTCGCTCCCGGACGAGTCGTCCCCAACTGCTTCTGCCGAGCCGGCGCCGTTGTCGATATCAGTAAAAGCGGCGATCGCCTCGTTGGCCTCGTTGTCGTACAAGCCTGATTCCAGCTGGTCATCTCCATCGCTGTTTTTTTGTTGGTTGATAAGACGCTGAATCTCCGCGGTGTCAAGAGCCTGCCTGGCGCGAATCCGTTTAGAGCTCGGTCCTGGCGCCGCGCCGTCTGCTCTCAGCTCGCGGCGAGCAGGCAGTCGTGGCATCGTGAATCGCTGTGTTCAGTCGTTCCTGAGAGCCTCAGGACTACTGATAAAGAGATGCGCTTATGACAGGTTTTATACCCGAATATTGCGTATTCGGCGTGTATATTTGCGTGAAAATGGCTCCGCCCACATCTGGAGACGCAGGTGTCGGCAGGGATCAAACACCGTCTGCGGTCAGGTCCGATGGGAGGGGAGTTCTCCCGGGTGGGAATTCCATTTTTCACACGACTGTTTACTTAGACAGATGACCGCCCGTGCCGAAGATGCAGCTAACGATCGCGAGGGGAGATAACGACTTGACTGATAACGATAAAGACTGCGGGCAGATAAAAGGAGCCGTCACCCAAACCAGCCGAGCAGGTGCGCACCGTCCCTCACCAGACATTATTGACATTACTGTCAATGTCTCAGAGACGACATTATTGCCTGAGACATTAGCAGCCCATCGCGGTGGGGTGGGAAAGGGGAGGGCGGGAGAGGCACCAATGAAGTGTTCACATTCATCAAAACATCTTCCGATCATGTTTTGCATTTTCTTCTCCTCTGGTCGTTATCAGCAACACAGATAAGGCTAACCGCAAACTAAAGTCACACCTCAGAACAGTAAAACACAAATGTCAAAAGACGTCATAGGTGGTCAGTGACCTAAGCTTACTTTCAAGTGACATTTCTTTCATCGATAATTCATAGAATTATCGATCAATGCAATATCAAATGTTCATCAATAAGCATGTCCATGCCACACACGGTGTGGAAACGTAATGGTAATTAGCACTGAGATCCGTTGACTCTCATGTTGGTTTGACATGACCTCATCAAGAGGTCAAAGGTCACACGTAGCGGAAAATAGTAAGAAAATCGCTAAATGAATGCACAATTTGAAATCAGCAGTAAAAACTAGCCAACAAACATGTAAAACTCGAAAAAGTGAACCCAGGTCATCTAAGGTCAGTGACCTGACCTGACCTTCAAGTGACCTTGACACCCACCTGTATCGGACAGACATCATTTCACATGTTGAAACCCCCAACAACCACGAAAAGACTGCAAACGCACGGCTAATGTGCCCTGACACACGTCGAATCGCGATTCCGGCCTGACAAGGTCTCCAGGAAGAGGTCACAGGTCAAAGGTCATTTGAGGCAGGGTCATGAAATTTTCAGGGTAGGTGTAAAATTGATTCAAACGAGGGTACAGAAAGTATCATTACGATCGGTCGCTTTTTGCGCGAGTTATGCGCGAAAAACCGAGAGGGGGGGGGGTCCGTTCGACCCCCCCCCCCTATACGGGCGAGGGATAAGTCAATGGGAGAAAATTGAAATGCGCCTCTTTTGGACGAAAGACATTATAAACACTCCCAAACACTGAATTACAAGTGGTTTAGACACACTGAACATGAAAATGGTGTCCGTGACCACTGTTTATGCCCCTGAGGTCATCTTAGGTCACGAATGGTATCTAACAGTTTTTCGCAAATAACTTTTGATAGAGGCATGCTAGAGCGATGAAAACGCCTTAGATGTTCTCAGCTCGACGATACGGATCGACTGATATGCAACATGACCCTTTCCGGTCAGGTCATGACTTTGACCTGAGGTCAAATTTTCAAGTTAACCTTTTAAGGTCAAATTATAGCTCATTCGATGCGTCTTGACGAGAGGAACACGATACCGGTAAAAGTAAGCTCGTACAAGGCTTGGGTCAAAAGTTATTGCGGAAAACTGTTTCTGAAAAAATCGGCTATT